GTGCGAAAATAGAGATTTCTCAATAAGGCTTTATATCACTTGGATTAGTCAGATCAAAATTTAAAGGAGGTGAGTGCACCGATGAGTTAAAGCAGCTGAGTAATCCCACAGAGCATTCATGAAATTCCTTGTGGAGTTTACATACTGTTGGTTGAAGTTGAACAGAAGCCAGAACCAGGAAGAAGTACCATCTCTCTGTAAAGTTCAGCTGCTTTTTCTCTTTTTCCTCTGACGGCTAATCCTACTAGCCTGTTAGCATGACTGTATTTGGCTCTTGCCATATGATTATGATAACGATAATAATTAATTTTCTGTGATAAGCATTTCTCTTACAGTGAAAAAATAAAAGGCTTTGGTAGTTTTGCATCTAGATGACCATTTGAATGAAATGCAACATACTTTTATGTGACACAAAACTTATAATAATATAATAGACTTTATTTGGCATGGACATCACGGATACATTGGACGAACAGATGCATTGTTTAAGTGTTTTAGCAAGCATGCTAGTTGTCAACACCTGTCCACGGGAGGATTTTGAGAAAAAAACAATTAAGATAGGGAGAAAAGCGATAAACAGAGAAAACAATAAGGAGAGAATAAATAAATAGAACCGTAGAGCAAAAGCAGCATGATCAAACAATAACCCAGTCAGAAGCTATTCATGTGAGCGCTGTTGTTTTGATTTTAGCCATTGTTTGAGTCCTCTGTTAAAAGCATTACTGTTGCTCTCTAGCTTTATGCCAGTGGGCAGAGAGCAAAGAGCTTTAAATGGAATCAAAGTTAATATTCTCATAGATAATGTGTGCAACGTTGGCCACAATTCAAATGTTTTTCTCCACTGATTTGTAAATAACTTCCCTGAATGCTAACATATCGGCTAATATGCAAGATGATTTGAATAATACAGCTTGGTTAGCCAAAACGTGAAGGAGGTAAATGCTAAAATAATGCTAACAGTGCACAAGCGCTCGACGACAACAAGCTACAACTTCATGTCAGTATTATAAATGAGCTGATCAACAGAAGATGGATTGGAGACTATTTCGATGGATGAACGATATTAGTCGTTTTAAGAGTTCAAACAACTATATCTTTGATATGATTTATTATCTGTAGTCAAATGTACTGACACTGAACAATGTCTTGTTTTGGACTGTTCATAGATGACACGAGACATTTTATTAACAACTTTTGCTCTCTTATATTTTTCACAGTTTTTGTTTAATAAACTAATTGAGTGTTTAGCTGGTATGTAGCATGCTAACACTTGCTAATGAGAAGCAAACACAGAGTACACCTGAGTTTGAATGTCATTAGTTTTACACATTAACTACTGGATACATTTAACTAGTATTTATGAGGCATCATCAGGTTTAAAATGTGACCAGTTATTAGGCTTTAATTGATCCTGATTGATGATTGGGACCATGGACATCTTTTTAAAAATTCATGGCAATCCGTTTTGTAGCTGTTGAGATATCTTAATCAAAACAGGAATTGTGGACTTCGTGGTGGTTAAATTGGAAAAGTACAACGTTATGTCATAAGGGTTTATCTTAAATGTCTAAACTCAATTTTGTTGTGATCTATTCAACAGTTGTTGAAATAATAGGGACCAAAAAGCCCAAACAGACTAAAATATTCATCCCCGTATTTTGCCAGCTGCTAACATCCAATGTACATTAATATTAGCCTAGCCTAGGACATCCAGGTGTTAGCTTGTAATGAGTTACTGGATCAATTCTCAGTGTAGTCATTTAACACTGTATCAGTAACTTCTAAGTTCTGAAGCATTCCTCCGATGGACTAATCTTTTCTGATGCCAAACACTTCCTCTTCGTCCTTCTTTATCTGATGTGAAATCTGACATCTGTTTCTCTGTACAGAACTCCAAATTCTGACTTTGGCTGATCTTTGTTTTCTCGTTGACTTCCTCACTTCCCTGAGATTCAGCTTAAACGAGCGACCCAGAAGAGAGGTATCTGCAGAGAGTTAGTGTTATCTCATCTGAAAAGGATGCAGAGGACCCTCATCCCGAGTCACAACTTGTCTTTTCCTTTAAGCCTCCAGACGTGTCACGTGGGAAAGCTTGATGGAGGCTTGTTGTTGGCCTGCAGGCTTTAATGGTTCCACCGAGGACGCCGTCGTTGGTGTGTTTGCGTGTATGTCAACAGACTGCCGTCTGACATGTTTGCTACATTTCCTTGCTGTTTGGTTTGTTCCTCACTGACAAATTTCTCTCCACATGCAGAGCTGTAAGGCAACAACAGTCGTCTAAGAAAGTTGACTGATGTACTGAACTGATGTAAACCAAAAATAAAACTTCCTCATGACCTTTGACCTTTAAATGATAAAATTACAGATTAAGGTGACACCCTCTTTTACAGTTTGTGGGTACGTTTATAAATTTGGCAAACTGACAACACAGAAGAAAGCATGTTTGAGTTTTGTCTGTGATATGAACCTTTTTACCCTTAATTTATTGAATTGCTTTTTGTTTGCTCTTATGGAATCAAATATGTAGATACGTAATGAAGCAAGGGCTCATAACTGATCTATCAAATGACTTTAAATGTAGTTATAGAAAACTTTTTATCTTTATGTTAAAGTGGTCTTGCGAAAGCAAAAAATGTGACGACAAATAAAAATAAGTTCTGTCAAGTGAAGTTACTCATTTTGAGCCCAGTGAGACCCCAAAAAATGAATAACAACAGAAATAGAACATTAACACTTATGGAGTTTGACACACATGGGAGTTTGACCAATCACAGACATGAAGCACGTGAAAATCTATTATGGTTGAGTTCTACATCTCGAGTTAAAATAATATTCATGAAGTTCTCATAAAATTAGTAGAATTCAGGAAGTGTCATTGCGATAAAGCAGGTAAGCAACTTCAGGCAACTATTTCACATAAACTTCAAAACCATTTTGATGGTTTGCTGATGTTTAATGGAAAGAACTGTTCTTCTTCAAGTGCTCACATGAACACTTATTCTTGAACTCTACAACTGGTTTGGTTGAGCTGGTACAATCCTTCAAGGAGGGTATACTGCATGGCTCTGTGGCAGAAAGTCCTGAAGAGAAACTCCTTCTGTTACCTTCCCAGTATGGACATCACAACAGAGACGATAAATCAAAGAGGACGTTGACAGTAGAAGTTTCGATAAGAAAAAGAGATAGACCAGGAACAAGGACGAAAGGGGTAATTTGAAAGAGTGAATAGGACTTGGAAATTGAACATGTGGCAAAATGCTAAGAATGGCAATTCTTCTTGCAGTAAGTGTGTTCTGTAGCCTCTGAAAAGGAGCCTGAGGTCTTCCCAGCAGGGCTGTGGTGTTGAGGCTATTTGACAAAAAGTTGACCACAAACATAATGAGCAATGGAGAAATTTTCTTCAGGATTAATTAAGTTCTATAATTTCTTATCTTATCTTAAACATGAATATTGACTCTAGTCCCAGCAGAGTTCTTGTGTTTCTCTCCGACCTCAATCAGAATGAGGATCAAGTTAAAACTATTCTTTCTTAAAGCCTCGTTCAAGACACAATAACAGCCATTCAATACAGATACATAGTCTTGTTCTAGATTAGTAGTCTTGACGAAACACTGTAGTGTGATCTTTATGCAAAGTACATCTCATTCACTGACCCCCGTAAACCAATAATATAAGTGAACTTCTCTGTGATTTCAGTGGGGATTGAGATCCTTCAAATGAGACCCTGTGGAAAGTCACTTTACTCTCTTTTGATGTCTTTAATTGTCCTGACATATTTGTCCATAACATTTTGGGTGATCTGGCTTGTGGAGATCATTGAAACCAACCTATAAAACTCACTAAATAAAATGCCATGAGGGAAAGCAGAATCAGTCCAATCAGAGCCTTCATTAGCTGTGATAAGGCCTCTGCACAAACACTGAAACACAGCTGTTGCTCTGAGGAGAGAGAGAATAAAACAAAACAGATAACCTGGATAATAGCAAGTGCTGCAGGCTTGATTCATTTCCAAATGTTAACAAGGCCGTTTCACAGCTCCAGCGTGCCGCGCAGTATGTTAATACCACTAATAAGCCTATCTGTGCCAGTCATCTTGGATGGCAGAGATCTAAGCGCGAGGCATATTTCTCTAAAAAAAGCTGCTGGCCATATTTTAAATGAGGCAGAACTATTTATGATTCTACAAAGCTGACATAATTGCTTAAAGGGGAACTGAGGAGAGCATTACTTTGTTTTCTGTATTATGACAGAGGAGATTTCACTGTTTGCATGTCAAAAAGACTACTGTGGAGGCCATCACAGAGATGGGAGGATCTCCTGCTCGCCTGTTAAGCAATTTTGCAGTTTTTATTCAAGCTGTCAAGTCAAACAATCAGGAGATAATGCAGCCTTGGTTTGGAAATTATAAACGTGTCAAGAGATGCACTAAAGGCAACGACAGATGCCACTTATCAGCAGCGGCCTCTGCAGTGTGACTGTATCATCAGTGGGGAAATATAACATTTTGATGTTTACATAAGAGAAGTATTAGTATCAGTCAGAAATGTAATTCCTTTCACCCATCCCTCTCGCAGGGGATTGACTCCCCGGAAAACATACAATGATTTTTTTTTAAAGCTAACAAAAAAAAAAAGGGAGCAGAAAAGCATCCTCGCTGATCTTCTGTCCATTTCCAACATTGCTTCTTGTATATTTTTTGGTGGAAATCCTCTTAGAATGCAAAGTAAATAGATTACGATACAGTGAGGGATTAGGGCTCGCGCAGCGCTGTCAGATTAGTCGCTGAGCGCAGCGCGTCGACAGCTCTGACACGGCCATGGCTGCTGTTCAGGAAAGGGGCTCCGTGCGATGCTTTAAAGACGCTGGTTGGCTCTTATTCATGAATAAAACTATGGCCCCTAATCTCGGCCAACACACGCACACACACATATCTATACAGCACACAAAGACGCACACACACACACAAAGTCTGGAACGTTCAATATCATCTGTGATAGACGTAAAAAAACAAGTATTTATTTTTTCTGGCTGATTGACGAACAAAAGAATCTGTCTTTTTTTTTTTAATGGCAGAGCCTGGTGTAACTGTTTACTCTTAGGGTTCATTTACCTTCATCATTAAAGTATAAAAGGTCTTTATAATAAGGTGTTTTGGAACAAACATAGTTACTCAGTAAGTTACAGAAGTGGTCGTACAAAACCAGTTTATTTACAAATACTGCTCTGGTTTTATGATCAGTCTTCATCCTGGTATTGAGACAGGTAAGTAAACAGACTTCATTTAAAAATATCCAACGAGAGCCCGTTGTTGGTGAGGTGCTGTGTTTGCTCCTCAATGTCTCGTTGGGATTTACAAAGTGCTCTTATTGTTTTTTTTCAAACCATTCCTAAGTGGACCACATGAAGCGTCCCGGGATCGTCTTCATCCTGGGAGAGAACAAACAGAAACGTTGTGTTTAATGACCTGAGCTGAGTTTGTTTATGAAGACAGCACATGGAGAACATTGTTTCGACCTTTCAATCCTGTAATCGTGTCCGATCTGTACTGACAAACACAAGAAAACTGATTTTATATCTGAAAATACACAGACATAAATACATCTGTTTATTAAACGTTGAAGGAGTCAAAATTCAGCTTACTCTCGAGGAGCATAAGATTAATTTAGCAAAAACATCAGACATCTTCATTGTCACATAACATATATGGCTGAAATCCACTCACATTTCTGTTGTCTCCAAGTCCTCTGCTGCTTCCTGCAGATCAAAATCAAACAGAAGATGTTGGAGGATATTAGACAGATTCCTGTAAACCAGCCATGACACTTTAAAGTACATCAACTCAACATTAGACATGCATAATCACACTCTGCAGCCCTTCAGCACATAAACACACACACACACACACACACACCCTCACACTGAATGCCTGAACAAGTTACATGCTCCCTCAGTGGCGCCTTTTCCTTGTTTAAATGAATGTAAACCGTTGTCACTCATGGCGATCTCTCTGTTCTGAGCCCTGTGTTAATAACATTATGATTGACATTAAAACCCAGACGTGCCTTAAACTCATGTTTAAAAAGCTGATGCAAATTCCCAGCTATAGCCTACAGTCGGGATTATCAAATGACAGAGCGATTTGATAGCGACACAATTGCTAATCACCCGAAAAATTTAATTATTAAAATGGAGAGCGTAGAAAGGAGGAGAGGAAGACGGCAAGGAAGAAGTGATGTTCTCTTAATGGTTGTTTTTCCTAAATGACCAGTTAGTCATCTCAGACATCTGAGACCTGCAGAGGAGAGCACTCAGGCTACGTTTAGAGACTACAGCAGGCTAAATGTCGCAGGAGAATTGCTGCGAGGCTTAAAAACGTGACCTGAAACTGGCACGTTGAAGATGATGAGATTTATTATAATTGGCTGACTTTCTGTCTGCTGCTTGTATTGACCAGGGAACAGGCTTTTGTAGGTTGCACAGGGGAAAATTAAGAGAAAGAGTGGGTTTGTTAAAAATCTAAAAGAAATAAAGGAGAGATGTAAAAGTCATCTATATTGAGGGTGGGTAAGTGTGTGTGTTTATGGTTGGAAAGCAGCAATTCATCACAAGATGGACATGTATGAAGAAACACACTTTAGAAGAGAGAAACATTTCAGAGCATGTGAGCATAACGACGTGAGGAGGAAAACGTGTTTGGATGGAACACAGATCACGTGTTACTGTTCAAAATAAATCGTTTTTCTTAATAGATAAATAGAAATCACTGTGGCAAAACAACAATGAAGTTCTTTACAGCTGATGTTTCAGATTGTAATTTAAACTAACGATGAAGCTTCATGAACAAACGAGAAGATTTTTATCATTTATCAAATTGTTATTCATATTCTAGAGACAAGTTCAGCTCTAACATTAGATACCTCTTCAGAAGCAGACAGACAGGATGACACACACACGAGCGCGCACACACACACACACACACACACCTGTTTGTCTTTGTGTCCTGAACACGTCCGGGTTAACAGCCACACGTATGCTCTGTTCCTGTAGTCTCCTCTGATTGGCTCTTCCATCAGCACTGCGGCACAGAGAGAAATGTGTTGTCTTTTTTTTTTTTTTTTTTTACACCTTAATGTACCTTGTTCAGTTTTTTTTTAGTTAGAAATTTCAAGTGTTTAAGAGAAACAGAAATAAAAATAACTTCCCTTTGAGTGAAAACCATCTCTCAAACTTTTTACTCTGCTGGGATCGTCATGAGTGGAGAAAAGGAAGTCAAAGGAAAGTAAAGATGTGTCCAAAAATCTGCTTTCATTCTTCACATCAAGAGGTCCGTTTTGTTGTCGTAGTTCATGTCCTGTCACACTAACAGTTCTAACGATATTGCCAAGTGTTGTAGTAGAAAGTAAAAACAACAATGGTTACTGCTATGCACACTGTTGGTGTCGATTAAGTCAGGACCCACAGTGGGTCAGGAAAAACAGAATCCACTTGCCACGAGAAGTACGAGCGGAGGAAATGTCAGACTGAAAATGAAGGTCTGCGTAACAAGCAGACAATTCTGTTTGATATCAGACCAAGAATAAAAAGGAATGAAAATGTACTCTGAAAAGTAACATAAGGAGTCAAACCAATAGTTGAATAAAATGAACATTATCTGTCATCTGTATGTAGATGAACAGAAGTATGAAGTTGCAAAAAGTCCAAACAAATAACTCAATTGAAATCAGAATGAGGAAACTCACTATGGATGTTATTCTAGGTGGTGTGTGGCTGATTTCTTTGGCATCATTATTCTCTTCTGCTTAATATAGCAGCGTACAAACCTGTCAGGCAGACATCGTTTTATTATTGATCTGAGCTCATAACTTCATGTTAACTTATTTCTTGTGTTTGGAGATATACAATGTCCTCCCCACAGGCAGGGCAGAATGAACATGAACCCTTTATAAATCTCAAATAAATCTATAAATCTGTTTTTAAATAAAGACTAAATGGCAAAACTGACTTTGCCTCATTAGCATAACAATAACTTTTGCCTCTGCTAACCAACCTTAAACATATCTTCTATTCTCCTAGCTCCACTGACAGAGGAGTGTGTGATGACTGAGAGGCCAGCAGTCGTCAAAGGAACGTTGGGATGCTTCCCAGATTCCCCGCTCGTTCTCTCTCTCACTTTCAGAGTCGGATTTGGGGAATGCAGGAATCTGCAAGAAGCCCCCAAACTGCCATTGTGCTTGCCTCCCTCTTTTTTTCCTCTGCTCTTTTTTCAGCTTGCCAAATAGGAGAACGCCCGTGCTACAATGCCTTCCCTACTCCATCTCAGCTTAGCTGTCATTGGCTCCACATGAGAAATAATGAAACTTCATCGGAGACCAGATTACAAAAAAAAAAAGGGGGGGATATAAAAAAAAAATGTTCTAAAGAAAGGAGGAAATTGTGGAATAAAAAAGGCAGAAGCTTTTGTCCCTTTCTCTCTATGGCTATTATCTTTTGGGAGGTTTGGGGATCGGCTTTCTCTGCCTCTGTCAGCAGTGCAGGGGAAGACCTGGGGTAGTACAACCCGGGCCTTTCGCTGCCAAATCACCCTAACACTCTTTACCACACTTTTTTTCTCCTCTTTCTTCTTTTACTGTTTTTTAAAAAGAGCTTAGGACAGAGCATCTCTCTCTGTTTCTGCCCCCCCCCCTCACTCTCTCTCTGGACCCGGCTTGTTTAAATTGGCTGATAGGAGGGGATTTGGGATGGATGGAGGGGGCTTAGAGAAACGTAGAGTGGAGGGTTTGGAGGCAGAGAGTCATCAGTGTTACAGTCAAACAGCCATGAAAAGCCTATGAGGATGAAAAGAACAAGAGCGCCTTTTTATCTAATACACACAAATCCCATATAAATACTCCAATATGTTAGTAGGGATATGACAAGGAATGCCCCTCCATCACTTCCACCCATCCTACAATAATGGAGACATGGATGGATATATTTGTGTGTGTTTGTATGTGTGTGAGACAGACAGAGACAAAGAGGGGCATGCAGTCAGTGTGTCTTTAGTCACACTGTTTCGACACGTCATTCACAAAGACAAGTGTATTAAACAATCACTCTGAAACAGTGAGTTTAGTCTGCACTCTGGAGACTGATCCATGGTGAAAATGGACCCTGTGGAGTTTTAAATGTGGCTCTGGCTTCAGCGTTGGGAAGCGTAAGACCCGGAACTGATGTGGCTTTGACATTTGAAATGTCACTGGTAGTGAAGGCTTTTAGGCTGCAGCTGGGTCATTTGGCCACAAATGCTCTCATGCAATTCATACACAGACAACAGTGAACCACTGAGGAATAACAGGCAACATGTCAAAGTAAAAAAGAAAAAATCTTCATTCAAAAAATGTCACAGGATTCATTTAGAGTAAGTCGAAAATATTTTTTTCAAGTGGCTTTAATAAATATTTTCATAATAACAATGTGAAACACAGAGAAGGTTGACTTGCAGTGATGAGCCTACAGAAATATATCAAATGGATCTGCAACTCTGATGTACAGAAGTCAAGATTGAGATTGAGCTCATTGCTGAGCTGTCCAGCTGCAACTTATTCTTTTTGGTTCACCATGACCGCTATCACAGAGCAGCTGTGTGCAATATATGTGAATTGTCGCCAGTCATTGTTTGTTTCCTGGATAGCCTCAAACAGCAAAGAGACTAGCTGGTGCACATAGTTCATAAGGCACAAGCCTTAGGAAGCCTAAACCAGACACAAAACGTTACATGTAACTCACTGTGTTGTTGCGAGAGTTTCCGGGTATGAAGATCTTGTTGTGCTCTGGTTTCTTTCTGTTTGTCTGTCCCCGGGGCTGGACTCACATAACCCACCATCTCTGTCTCTCAGAGGATCCTCTAGGACACACAAACACACAGACACATAAACACACTGCCATAACAAGGTTGAGAAACAGTTTTGATTTACCTGAAAGTGGAATACAGAACATCAGCGGCATCCTTTATTTTCCAAGTTTTAAACTCCAATGTAAAACCAACCTTTGGCAATATACACATAGTATGTCTTGACTTTATTTTCTTTAATATGAATCTGTCCACAGCACAACATTAGCATCTTTTCTATTAGAGCGTCAGTATTTGACGACCTGAGAATGAGGAAGCATTGGCTCCTGACCAAGAGAAAAGTCAAGATGAGTTGCAGGTATGATGAATACTTCCAATGGAAATACTTTATCATTAAAGATGTGCTGAGTCAAATTTCATTATAAATGTAAGTTAACGTATTTACCTATTGCATTTAATGGTAGCTGTTTGTACCTGAATATAAAAATTTGCCAATATGGCTGTCACACCTTGAAGAGCAAGTTTTCTCATGAACACATCATGTAAAGTTTCTGAATGCAGACAGGAAGTCACAGCGTAATGAAGGTTGTGCGAACAGAGCGATCAACAAGAGCCGAGAGGGGAACGCAAACAAAACACTGCTTTCCATCAACACACTGGAGCTAACAGGCTTTCCCCACAACCACGGAGAAAGGATGGGGAATGAGAAAGAGAGAGAGAAAGAGAGAGAGAGAGAGATAGAGGAGGAGAAGTGGATCTTCAGATAAAGCTCTTGTCTCTTTGCCCATTGAGAGACCCTGCAGCCACATCAACCTTTGTGAGGGGGAGACTCAACGATCAGGCAACCAACTTGGCTTCTCCTCTTGGCAAAACGTTCTCCAAAGAAAAAAAGGGATTGAGAGGAAGAGAAAGAGGCCTTCCCTCGCACTTGTTCGCCACTCTGCCTCTCACAATGCTGTATCTATCCGAATCAACAGACTTGTCAGCCAGACAGCTATAAGCGATTTCCAACGCTGTTATAAAAAGGGACCATACCTAAGCTGAAATGTGTGTCCTCTATTGTGTGCGCATGTGTGTGTGTGTGTGTGTGTGTGTGAGTGTGTACAAGCGAAGACAGAATCTCTGTTTACAAAAGATGCACATAAATATGAGAAGGGTGCATAGAAACATGGTGTATCTGCCCAATTTGATTCTGAGTCCACCTTGAGGAAACGCTACATCTGCTATTGAGTCATTTTTTGAAGCGACTGAAAAAACATCCAAACAATGGCACAAGATTTGTTCCTTTCCAATGCAAATCAACTTTTCCCTGTGCTTTTATCCAGGGTGGTGAGGTCCTAGAGCAGCTGATTTTACTCCTGCTCCTTAATACAAACACAGCTGGTTGCTTAGCAGTTAATTACAGTTAATTCCAGGAATGAAATAGCATCAGGTTCATTTGTTTGGATTCAAAAACCAACTGAGAAGTGTTTGTGTGCATGTGTGTGTTTGCCTTCATACACCAGGTCAACAAGAAGCTGACCTGCTGTTTTCAAAATGTTCTCAGCACCTGATTACTACAAATGGTTGGTTCATGTAGGATTCAGAGCGACCTGCCTCAGTGTCACACCTAACTGCGCACATACAGTCCACATATTTACACAAACACATATGTCTCCGATGTGTAGTGTGTGAATAGGACTGAGAACAAACACTTTTGGGTCTCTTGTGTGTGTTCAAACAGAAAATGTCTGTGGCTGCACTGTGGGAACTTGTGTCAGGAAAGCGTGTGACTGTTGACTCACGTCTGTGTTTTGTCAATGTGGAGGGACAAACAGACGGGGGGCTGACGCTTTTCAAAACACAGTTGTAGGGGCTAATGTTTTGTTTCTTTTTTATCAAAAAATTGATATATTTTTACCCACTTATATTTAGAAAATTCATGTACATCCTGTATAGGTGGTGTTGTGTGTGGCTAATGTTGTAGAGAAGGCATTGACCTGAGCCTCAGCTGATCCCTCGGGACGTTAAACGTGAACGGGACCAGCACCACTGTAGTTTACATTAAAGAACAAGTTGTTTTAATTGTTTTTAAAAATTTTTTAAATTTTTTATTCAACCCAAATTAGGAGTAACAGTGAACAGTGTCCTGTTGTTGAATAGAAAAAGCTAAGAATTAGACTGACTATACCCACACTCCCCATGTTGTTAAAGATAATCTTATTCCTGCTTACATGAAAACTTCAAACTGGAATTGTAACTGGAAAAAACTTATTTGTTTGCAATCTCATTTAGGCTGCAAAGCAACATCTGTCTCCTGGTTTACTTGTTAGTTATTGATTTGTTTCTCTGTAAAAATCATTTGAGTGTTCATGAAAGGCAGAGCTGATCCTGTTTTTTTTTTGATGGTCATTCTGTGTGTGTGTGTGTGTGTGTGTGTGTGTGTGTGTTTGTAAAGTGAGACACCTGTTCATGGAGCTCTCTGCTTGAAGCACACTACTCATTATTGATGACCTGGCTTTGCTGCCCAGTGAATATGGCTGGCTGCCTGTCTAAACGTTGATATATTGTTCAGTGTACAGCACGCTCACACACACACACACACACACACACACACACACACACACACACACACACACACACACACACACACACACACACACACACACACACACACACACACACACACACACACGAGGCAACATCAAGACTGATGGTTACACTGTGTCAGGATGTGTGTGTGTTTCCAATTCACTTTCTGTCAAACCATTTAGCATGCTAATGGCTAATGCGTTTGTGTGTGTGTGTGTGTGTGTGTGTGTGTGTGTGTGTGTGTGTGTGTGTGTGTGTGTGTGTGTGTGTGTGTCTGTTTTAAGGTGTGGACCTTTAGATCTTTAATATGTAAATGCATCTGAACTGACTTTCTCCTCTCTACCATTTACTCTTGACATTAGAAAGTCATTTTTAAAGAAGGATTCAAACTCTACTTTTTTGTCGATTAACTTCGCTGTCTACACCAGCAGTGGTACTGAGTCAATCATTTACTGCGTGAATGTTTTAAATAACCAAATATACTACCTGACCAAAATAACATACAGCATTGAGGACTACCAGAGCAGGAAGAATACTGCTTCTTCTACAATAAGAGAAAACTAGTGAGCGCACGTCCAGGCAAAATGCATAAAGGTGCAGGACAAGAAATGTACTAACAGCAGAGAAAAAGGTAAAAGGTCAGCTCACTGTAGGGCTCCCATCTATCTATCTATCTATCTCTCTCTCTCTCTGTGATCAGCTGGTTATGTTACAGAAAATGTTGGTATATAAAATGTGGCCGACGGGTGAGCAGCACATGTATAAATGGGTAAGAAATCCCAATATTTGCGACTGCCCAAAATGTTAATAATTTGATCAAATTCATCATCATAATGATTAGTTAGACATATTTGATATATATTACAATAGAAACATCTGGTTAGTCAACAACTGGGATGCACAGTAAGCTAGTTCAGCTTGTTGTAAGCTGACTAAGGCTCTAGAATATCTTCTGATATCTACTGCAAATGTTGTGTTGTCAGGTCCCATGACCTCCTTTAATAGTGGTTTAATCATTCGTTCTCAGTTACAGCAGGCAGTGTGGACTTATCAGGATATTCTTCATACCAAGTTTACCAAGGCTCCACAATAAAAAAAAATGAAGCTAAGAGACACAAGAAAATTGAACAAACTATAAACAAGCAGGTAACAAGTCAATAATACACCTAAATCTTTAAAAAAATATTCTTTCATTTCCCTTTTCCTGTGTTAATCTATTTTTCTTCCTTCTATTTCTTGCAATCCTAATATGATCATTTTCTTCCTCTGCTGTCATCCCTCCTTTTTCCTTTCTCTTTTCTTTCTGTCCCTTCTCTGCAGCGCTGTTGTCCAAGGATAGGACATGCTGCAGGTGATGAAGGTAAATCATCGAGGACATAATTAAGAGGCTTATGAGGAGGAGTGCGCGTGTTAAGCATCACATTAAAAAAAAAAGGAAGCTGCATGCAAACAGGCCTCACAGTTACACAAACGCTCATTTCTATTCACCGACAAACACACAGACACCCAGCCTCAGGGGTTTGACCTTATACAGTGGAGTTAAATACCTCTCTGGCCTCATTTGGTTGTGTCTGAGTACACACACACACACACAAGCACATTGCCTTTGGTGTGTTTTAAGCACCAATGAAGGACTCATCAGACATGTTCATCTAGTTCCCTCACAAATTTGAATGTTTTCTGCTCACCCGACGGCTCTAGAAACCTCTGTGAGGAATTGCTCGTATGCGTTTGTCCGTTGCCGTGTATGTGTGTGCCTGTGCATGTTCATGCTCTTGTGTGTGTCTGTGTAATCAGGAACTCAGCTTGATCCCCTCTGGTATGTGCTTTGGGGAGTGTTTGTCAAAGGGCAGCAGCACAGCCTGAAGTAACAACAAAAAAGGGCCTTTGGTGGCTTTCCTCTTCTTGTTGCTGCTCAAAACTTGGTGAAATCTTTTTAATTACGATATTGAACTATTTGTCTTTAATTAGTGAGTTCTTCAGCTCACTTTACTTTATTATAGGAGATTTATAAAATTGTTTGCGTCCTAAAAAAGTTCTCCATACTTTATAAATGTTAATTCAGGAACATTACACTTTGTATGTGGTTTTATAACATGATATACAACTTCATGTATCCCACTTGTTTTAATCACTTCAAAATATGGCATTGTTATAAAAAAAAAGCAACAGGTTGTGTGTATTTAACATGAATATTTTCTTCTGTCAAACATGATCTAATTGTATTTCCCTTTCTGCTACCAGAAGAGGGTGAGAGCCTGAGAAAAATACCCAGTGTTAGATGTCAGGACAAAGTGTGCCGGAGTATCTGAGTTACCGAGGTTATCTGGAGTCCACCTCCCATTTCAGATAAAAGAAGAAAATAACGAGTCACATTTGGTGTCTTTTTGGTTAGACATTATGATTATTTCCTTACCGTTGCTTGCGATGGCCCGGGCCTCGATTTCATTAGCTTTCCTCTTGGCCACATCCGCGAGCACCACCTCGCCCTTATCGCCGGCAACATAATGGAGGTCCTTTGAAGGTAATGCAAGAAAGAAAGACACGTGAACGTTAATCTAAAATGAATCTAGGCTTCGATGACAATAGGACTTTTTTTGTGTGTGTGTGTGTGTGTGTGTGTGTGTGTGTGTGTGTGTGGGGGGGGGGGGTGGGGGGTTTGGCGGGAGAAAGAAGAAACAGATGAAATGACAGAAAAAATGAGCTGTTTGAAGCCCGACATCAGAAAGAGCACCAGTTGGATGAAATGCCGTTTCCTCCAAAAACTTTGAAATCAGCCCCCAGCCCCCAGCCCCCTCCCAACACACACACACTCAGACAGGCGGCACACACACAGACCCTCGTCTCTTCGGTTTTGTACCCCGGCGGATGTTATCTGTCACATTTCAAAAGTGGGAGAGGAGGCGAGGGACTGTTCACCTTTCAGAAACGCTGGTACACTCTCTTTGCGGAGGAACATATCCAGCAGAGCCCATTACTATATCAGCCTGTGAAAATATTGGAAACAGCATGTATCCTCTGTATCTCCCTGTTTGAGTCTTCCTGGCCATAAAGAGAGATTATATTGCTAAATGATGTCTGAGGGTGGCTGATTTTGATTTCATTAATAACCACATTGAATCAGACAGCTGGACCCGTTTTAAGGTTACAAGCAAAGCTGAGGTCATTTAATCTTTTTAAACACCTGAGAAGTATAGATCTTTTCTGAAAGCATCATCAAAATAAATGAGATTCAATACGATCCATTCAAAGCTTAATAGTCCTGTGAGGGATACGTGCTGTGTTAGTACTGTGTCTTAGTTCTCAGCAGGTTTGGAATAAGCTGAGCGTTCATGCATTAAAAGTTACAAAAATAAAACAAAGAGAAAAAATGTAAACCTAAAATGCTTTGAGTGTGCTGTTAAAGCTGAAAGATTTAACTCTACTCCATGCTTTATGTTTGTTGTGAAAATGTTAGGCAGTGATGGTCAGATGACAGTCAAACCTTTCTTTAGTCTCTCCATGAAAGATGTTTAGTATGGTTTATATTATCTTTAATATAAACCATCTGCAACATCAGTTAATTTTGCAGTAAAATGACAATATTGTACATACTGTATCCATCGCAATGGTAACAGAGCTAAAGCTTTGTCTCGTGTTGGTAAAAATTCAGATTTTAGTAAGATTATAGTATTTATGATTTATGTGTTGATGTGCATCAACTCTGGTTTGACCATGCTGAGCAGATATAAAAAATAATTATTTAAAATAAAAACAAATCATGATGTACAATCAGCTTAGTTTAACAAGAGATAACAAGATGACCGTTTTGACTGTATTACCACAGCTCAGAAGTCTGATTGAAAGATGATTAAAACAGTATCAACAGCAAATAGATCACACATTTCTCAGTCTAAAAAAAAAAAACCCGACTGGGGCAGCAGCATGATGGTATAAAACTTGGTCTTGGGCAGAAAGGTCACTGATTCGAAGCTCTGAGAACGGCTGTGAGGAAAATGAAAAAACACACCCTAAACAACGTTCAACATGTTTCTCCAGTCTCTCCAGTGGAGCCCGTCAATAACCAGCAGTAAAGGCTGAAAAAGTACTGGTCAGCTACCAGCGTGAAGTTGTTAGTGTTGGTTGGAAGAAGGATGCCCTGAAGGACAAAAAAATCTACAAAATGTCAATTGATAAAGAGAAAAGGAAAGAGAAAGAGGAAAAAATACATAATTACTGCATACTCAAGTCAACCTCCTTAATTGATTAAACACAGTGAATTAACACCAACATCCTGGCACCCAAAGAGAGTCTCCTCAGAGTCACAGGGTTTCCTTCGAGGTGAATGCAAGTCTGAGGGCCCATCAAAGGGTACAGCATGTTAAGGAAAGTCTTCCGCCTCAGCGACATCACAGGACATCAGTGCCGTGACTCAGGGCTCGCCACGCATAACCCTCAGCTGGCTAAAGCCTCCCCCCAGCTGAGCCTGCACCCAGCTCTAATACCCCCATATTGTCACCACGCTTTTGTACCCCAAGAGGGAAAAAAAAGAAGGGGGGGGGGATGCTGGTTTCCAAACGAGGAGGGGAGCAGAGAGGAAGGCAAAGAGGGGGGAGTGAAAGAGAATGAGAGCGAGCTGCTGAAATTGAAGAGTATGAATGGGAACAGATTGGGTAATTATAGTGTGGTGCCTGCCCTCTGTGGTGACGAGTTGGAGGAAATGTGAAAATGGCCGACAACAAAATGGCCTCAAAAGAACCTAAATCGGCTCCCAGGACTGAGGTGGCTAATTCACAGGCCACGGCCCCTCAATTAGATATGAGTGAGGCTTCTTAATTGAAAACAAACAGAGCTGCAGAAGATTAAAACAGGCGAGGAGGCATTACAGAGAAATGATAGTAAAGTGTATGTGAGAATAAGAGAAAAGGAGTGTGTGAGAGAGAGAGAGAGAGAGAGAGAGAGAGAGAGAGAGAGAGAGAGATGAGGAACAAGACATAAAAGGTGTTAAGAAGAGAAATTCACAACAAGGGTTTTCATGTGAGCGGCAGTGAGAGATTGTATGACAGACAGAACAGAACAATATGAACATTTGATGCCGGGGCGCTTTATTCCAGCTTAGCTCCTCGTAATACTGTCTGAATCTGGAGAGAGGGACCCAGAGAAAGAATAAACGAATGAACAAACGTGGAACAAGAGAGAGAGAAAGAGGGAGTGTGAAAGAGAGAGAGAGGAGTATCAGCCCGACTAAGAAGGGATAACAATAATACTGCATATAAAACCATCAGATATTACACCTCTTATTCCCTGACGCTCAAACGCGACACTAATCTTATTTATATAAGAGCTTTAGGGGTTGCAGTGGCTGATAAAGAGGGCGTTTTAGTGGGCCATTCTCAGGGAGAAAAGGGGGAGCAGAGGGGGGTTAGGTGTTGGTGTTGGTGGACTCTAAGAGCCCGATATTGACTGATATTTGGGCTACCTCCAAATAAATGAGGGATTAGGTGAACTGGCACACGGCAGCGCTTACGACACATAAATAGCCGTGTCTCATGTCTGTGGATGGGAAACAGGATCGATGAGTACATAAACGTTCTCGGAGGATTTGCACACTGTAAAGGCATTATGTGCACATGTACAGTATATAAACTTAATATAGAGTGGTAAATGAAAAATCTCCAATTGCAGCGTCTGAGTTTTTTTTTTAGATTTTTTTTTTAACTGTGATTGTCGAAATTTCCAGCCTGTTACACCTCATTCATCTGTATCGTAAATAGTTGGAGCTTTTTAACTATATATCGTTTTGTGTTTACACCTGCTACAATCAGGCTCTTCAACATTTACACAACAATATGGAACAACTTGTTGCATTTGGGTGTAAAAAAGGTAATAAGACTAGTGTACTCGCAATAGCTGGAAAACAATTCTTACTTTTTAAATTATTCATCTTGTGGCTTTTTTTTCGCAGTCTTTGTCCTGTATGTGTGAATCTGTCTTTAAAGATGTTACCTACCGTATATCTCATATAACTCTCTATCATGGCCTGAATGCATGATATTAAACGTCCACTGTTTTTTCCTAACCAAGACTTTTTTGTTTGTTTATCATGATTGATACTTTCAAGCAAATCTAGAAGAGAACATGAGCAACACTTGTTTTCCATGAACTTGTTACTTCACATCTTACAAGTGTATATACATCCTTTTTTTCTTACTGTCAAGGGATATTTATCCATTAAGTTTACTTAATTGACAACTTCATATCAGTTTACGTTTGTTTCAGGTTTACTTGAAGACATTTGAAGGTGATGACTTCTTTTAAAAACAGCCACACTTAAGTTTATATTTGATCTTTATCAAATATTATTCCAACAAAAGAAAAATGAATCCAGTTTCAATTAATTTATTCCATCCAAATTTTTTCCAAACATTTATGAACTAAATAATGTCCTTGAATGTTCACAGCATTTTGTTTTAAATGCCACAAGTACCTGACATTGCAAGTACATCTGTCATGGATGAAAAAGACAATAATGAAACCTTTCTGGATCCTAAATAAGTATGGAATACTGAATGAGTGTAGTGTATTATCTGTGTTTCTTGTTTCTGTATTTTTGCCTGTAAGATAAAATATCAGCCTCAAACATTGTGAGAGAGAGATGCCTCTGTTCTTTGATTCTCAGGGAACTATATTTAGAGAAGATAAAACATCACCTGGTGCAAAAATGTTTTCAGGTGGATTTTCACTTTGCCTGAAATGTAGATACACGTGCACAAATTTGAGTATATACGGAACACTTATTGTCTTCAGGAACTAATCCCTGTGCATGAGAGCATTTGCTCAAGCTGCACACAGGGATGCAAACCCATTTACAAAAACACACACATTGCATTCTAAACAACCTGTTAACCAAAAGCGTTGTGTTTGACTCACACTTCTATCAGATGGTGCTAAGGACTTAACACTTCAATAACGCTAATTACTCATCTGAGCAACAACAATGAGCTTACTGCCAAAGACGAGCAACGCCACCTCCTTCGCTTCCTCCATCACCTCCAAACTGCGTCAGATAGGGAAGGAAGATAGGTGAACCCAACAGACACAGCTCCCCTTACTGCTCGTGTTTCCAACAAGAAACACTACAAGCTCTCTTTGGGGAACAAAAGAGCCGAAATCTGATTTGACTATCACATCAATTAATTTAATTAACAGGCTACATCAAGAGCAAAAGACCCAGGAAGGAGAAGAGGAGGAAAAAGGGTGGAGGGTGGGAGGTGGAGAAAAATAACTCGTCGGCTTGACTTGGTTGACGAATGACCTAATTGGTAACATTATCAACTCATAATCAAAGGCTAATTAGGGAGCTACAGAATTGTGCCAATTATGGAAAAAATGCAAACGACTCAGTAACCCCCTACTACAAATGCTACCTCCCCAACCTCCACCTCCTCTAAAAACACACCCACCTCCCCCAAGTCCTCCTCCCCCTCAATTTAGCCTGACACTAAAGTGTTTCATTTTAACAAAAGCTTTCTTTTTGTGGAGAAAAAAAGCTTGGAGGGCTTCTATTGTTAGCTGGGAAACAATGGGGCCTTAAGGGGGTGGGGGTCCGGTGATGGAGGGGGGGTGTATCCTGCTGGGCATTTCCAGAAGAGGTGAGGGTGTTCGTTTTATCTGTGTTTGCTTCAAAGTATGCATTTTCTCAAGTCGATGGTGCGTTATTGAGTACTGCAGGCAAGTTCGGAAGTTATAAAGAGTTTGCTGAGGTTGGGGGTTGCCCTCATTAACCCCCTCCACCTCGACTCAATCAGCCGACCAGCAGGTTAAAGCAACAACACAACCTAATTAGAGCCAAGGACAGAGTGAGGGGTGAAATGTCAACGTCCTCCTTTTCTTTCTCTTTCTCTCTGTCACTCTTTTCAGATGCTGAGCTGCTGCTCTCTTGGGCGCTGAGGCAAAGAAGTACCACAAAACGCTTGTTCGTACAAACTGTTACAAGCAGGTTGAGAGTGCTGTTGGATCGAGTGTAATTGGAGTACCCCATGTGTATTTACATGTATTTAATTTACCCTTAGTTACTACATAATGATTTGTCTTTTTTACCTATATAACTCAGCAGTGCAATATTGTGTATTTATTGGACGACCTTTGTTTATTGTTCTTATTTACCTGTTGTTTATGTACTTATTTGTATGTCCTATTATACACCCACATTTACCCCAGGGATGAATGACTATTTCTAATACTGATTGTGATTGTCATTGTAACTCTGGGTTTGTGTGTATGAATCTGAGCTCATGTTTTTGGCTTGACTCTTTTGTACTTACCGTACTTCAGTGAATTTTGTAATACACCTATTCCATTGATGAATGTCTATATTGTAATAAAAAATAATAGAGACCTTCTAACAGGCTTAGTTTGAGAAGTGTTTTCAATCAAGTGTTGTGTTGGCTGGAACGATGGTGGCCTAGTGGTTAGTGCGCGCGCCCCATGTACGGAGGCTTTAGTCCTCAAGCGAGCAGCCCCTTTCCTGCATTGTCTTTCTGCCCTCTCTCTCTTCCTGATTTCAGACTCTATCCACATTGTATCTTTAAATAAAGGCAAATGAAAGCCCCCCCAAAAAAGTGTTGTGTTTGTTGAAGAGGATATATCGAGACAACAAAAGGTTTTATAAATCTTACTCTGTCTTTTCAATTTCTTTGTCTGCAATGTGATTTATAAAATTTCTGTGATTTCCTGAAATGATCCCTCTTATAGTTAACTGAGCCACAAAAGGTGGCTTGACTAAATATCATAAATGAAGTCATTTTTCCGACTCTGTATAACGCAAAAATATAAAGAGAAAACAAATTGAAATCTATGAAAAGTAGCATTTCTATTGGCTGATTCATGTTTCGAACTGAATTTGCAGATTGCCTTCATTTTGCATTTAATAGAGGAAAAACTTGGCTAAAATTTTAAAAATAATTGAGGCAATACACGTTTTCAAGTGATTTGAAATGTGTTTTTTGATTGTCCTGTGAATACTAAAGAAACACTCTCAATTTGGTCAAAATCTACATTTTAGTATTAAGAAGTATTTATCATAAAATCATAAAACAAAATCATTGTAACAGGAGTATTGCTGACTGTTCAGGTTGTTTGGTCCAGACTTAAATTGTCCTGAAGTGTTTGAACCCACCCGTTAAATATTCCACCTTCATGCCTTTGTTCATCACGTGTTTGTCTTACTCACCGCCTCTAAAGTGACAGAGCAAAACCTTGAGTCACCTTTCTCTCATATATTTTGCATCGCTCATATAGTTTTCCATCTACACCACTGCCCCCTCCTCTGCTCTCTGCATCCCCTCCTCTGCTCTCTGCATCCCCTCCTCTGAACACTTTCAAGGTCCACAGACTCGACTCCACCTTTTCAATTCGGCTTCCCAGCAGCACTACTTAGTGGGGAGGTAATTGGAACCAGTGCTATCAGTGTGATTGAGAGGGAATGAGGAGGGTGTGCTGTGTGTGTGTGTGTGTGTGTGTGTGTGTGTGTGTGTGTGTGTGTGTGTGTGTGTGTGTGTGTGTGTGTGTGTGTGTGTGTGTGTGTGTGTGTATATGGGGGTCTGTATTAATGTCTGAGGTGTTGGTGGAGCATGGAGCAAAAAGGGGGCCCCGTGAAAAAGGGGGTCAAACACATAGAGGAGCTTTCAGCGTATAGAGTCAAGAAAAGAGCGAGGTGGAGGGAAGATGAGAGAGGAAAGGAGAAGGCCGAGCAGAGGCCGTGGAGGTTGTGAAAAGATAGGGCCCCTTACTGAGATCACATCTGCTCCGTGACAGACAATACACATACACAATTGTAGGGATTACAAGTCATAGCCAATGAAAGAGTCAACAGTTAGTGGACAATTATAGCCTGTTGACTGTTAGTTGACTCCTGTTTTAATTTTGACCATTTTTAAAAAAAATGTAGCTTCAGCCTTTGTCTAATTTTAGTCAGAACAATTAATTGATAATGTTTTAGATTTGGTTGAGCTATTTCCCCTGCTGTAAATAATGAGACAAAGGACTTCCATGCTGATAAAGCTAACAATAAAGTAAAAGCTTGCTTTGATGATGCAGAAAGGAAAACAATTATTTTCTACATGAACACTATGATTCTCAAACAATCCTGCATTTAGTTTTTTGTTGTGTGCAGGCACCAGACGCTCTGCAATTTAAGTGTATGTTATATGTATTTTTTATTTATTCTATACCTTACCGAAACCTGCAGACACCCTGATGGATATCACAAGACTATAAGGACATATTAGCAACCTGAGTAAATACTTTATTTCTGGCCAAACTCAAATTGATCCAACACTTTTACTCTAATCACAATCATTTTGAATGATTGTTAGAGCAGTTTTCAAGACAGCAATATAAAGTAAATCTTCTTTGCTCTCACCATGAATAAGTCCCGGGCTTCTAAGTCTACGGCAAGCAGGAAGGCCTTCTCAAAGCGCTGGTGTCTGCAAAGAGATTAGAGAGAGTTTAAGAAGAAATAAGACAACAACCTTACATAAAAAATAAAATCATCATCTAAATTAATACATGCACTGGATTAAAATGCATTGATTGATAGATCAGTAGTACATATGTCCTCCTTTCAGTGACAGCACACACAAACAACCACCCACATACACCTCTACATATAAAACTGTCAATAACTGAACTGAGAGTAGCGAGTCCTCTTCCTATTATCCAGTATTAAAGCTGGAAGAGAAAGCTCTATCTTCCAGTACAAAACAACTCAACTTTCCCTCGACTAGAGCCAACATGAAACAAACAAACACGAGCAGAGAAGGGAGATGAGGGGGTGGTGGTGGGGGGGGCTTCCTTCATTTGATGTCGATGGAGAGAAAAAGAATGCAGGTAGGTGATAAGAGAGGAGAGGAGGAGGGATGCCAAACATCGCTCACGCTCGGCTACAGAGGTAGAGAAAGAAAGAGAGGAGGAAACAGGAGGTAATTGCACGATGGAGAGTGGTAAGCAGCGGTGTGTGGGAACAACAGGGTCTATTTCAGTCAAACAGGCATTTCAAAAGGCTCTCATGGCAGAAGGGAAAATGAAACAACAGTCTAAACAGGTGCATGCGAGGTGCTTTGCCTTATGAATGACTCAAAGCTGCATCAGTGTGTGTCGAGGAAATCCAAAAGCTATTTCTTTTTAGATTTTTTTTAAATAGAAAGGTGAGCAGCAAGAACACTGGATTAAATTGCATCTTTAATGGATGTGATTTTCTGAAAGAAACAGGAAGTGTTATTCTGATTCTGCTCCCTATGACGATAAAATACTACTGTTATTAAAAATATTTTCTAATACCTTTTAAAAACTGAGAAAATTTGTAAATATTAAGGGACATGACCAAAGGTAGCATCTTTTAGTCATTGATCAGATGATGACATTTGTCATCTTGAATTTTTTTTTTCAAAATGTACTGATCTGTGTCCTGAAGGAGGATCATACAGCTTATCTTTACACTTAAATGCATAAAACCCCATTTTTACTACTACTCCTGAACAAAACTCCCCCACACTGAATCAAACAAGTTTTCTTCCACAACTACAACTGGTTAAACCTGATCCCCAAAAGCCTTCCTGCCAACAAATTATACATTTAGATGGTTAGCTTACAATTTACACTGATGTGAACAAGCTTGCCTTCGTCCTGTTGTTGTCAAGCCTCTGATGACGTTATGGCTGAGTGAAGTCTTCATATTTAACTATATATATGAATATAACTAGAGGTGTTGTACATGAAAGAATGGAAAGATGCCTGATATACGGTAGTATCTGCTTCAATGCAAGATAACATGTTTTACCATTTTTAGACTCAAATTTTATAAAAAATACTTTCCTTTCTTAATTGTCTTTTGTATCTTTTTAAGCTAAATTCCTTGCTTAGTAAGGATGTACGGTAAGTCCTCTTCAGGATGCAGGGAGGTTGGTTATCTATTATTCGTAATGCGCGATTCTGATACATCTCTTCATGACGTAACACTGAACTGTCAAAGTTGTATTATTAATAAAACTCAGAAATAAAAGAAAAATGTATTGATACACAATATAAGCAGCAATAAGGAGGGCAGACGCAGCACAGAGCAGGTGTATTTACCTGAGGAGGTGGTGAAAAAAGCGGCGGGCGTACTTGCTGATTGGTTCCCTGTACGCAAGTATCACCACATCAGACAGAGGAGCAGCTGGAGCATAAAACACTCCAAGAGCAGCTTCCAGCTGGGCTACAAACAGGAAACAGAAACAATTCATAAATATATAAAAAAATAAAAATACAGAAGGGTTAAACAAGTGTATGACAGCAAAATATGTAGTCAGGGAGTGAAATATAAGTTTTTCCATATTTATTTTAAATGATCCTGTTGAAAAAAGTTATATAATCTGCTTTGATAATAAGTGACCTAAACCTTTAGGCGAATAAAACTCCTAACTTTTGAATCCAACAAAACAACTTTAAATAAGTCTCAAAAACACTTATTGCTTGGAACTGACTGCAAAGGGTTTGAATAACACAGCCAGATTATTTCCACCAGAGAAGAACATTTAAAGTTACAGAAGCATCTATTAATGATGAAGCATTATGTGAATTTGCATTTCATAGATGTTTCAAACAGGAACCCACCCTCCCGCTCTGTGTTCAGCTCCAGCCTCAGCAGGTGGTTGGTGACCAAACTCAGGCCTCTGTAGCACTCGTCTCCCATGATGCTCCAGTCCATGGCCTCCAGAATGCCGAGTGCCTCTCTGACCTGACCACATCGCAGGCGCTGCTGCAGCAGCTCAACAGGACCCATCTGGCCTCCAGTCAGAGCTCCTGTCATGAAAAGTTTGGTTTTAGGCCTTATAAGAAGGAATAAAGCAACAGCATATAATGTAATAATATTAACATATAACATTTAATTTGTCTCTCTGACAGTTTGAACATATGGTTTGATGAAATTTCTTATTTATACATGTTTTATCTCCTGATGTTTTCATATACAAATACAAAACCTGTCACTGTTGCCTATGAGTAGGAACAAAGCATTATCATTTCAAGGCAAAAATAACAAACAGCAAAACCAGAGTAACACAGAAATGTCTGTTATTAGAAAAAAATAACTCTTGTTATCTTGTCAAAATGTACTCTACATTT